TATCTCTCAATGTAACACCCTCTCTGGAATAAAGGCACTCTGGCCCAAAACAACATTATACTCAAAGGGCCAGTAAATAGCACCCCGGGGCCGGATTTGGCCCGCCAATTGAATAGCCCTGCTTTAGGTGATTAAAGAAAACAAATAATTTGCAGTGCCCTCTTGACTGTAATTCATCTAAATAATACAAAGTGCTAGTTTAGGATGTTTTGTGAACACTAAAGTTTACAGTGCATCCGTGAAGCAGAACCAGTTTGTAAATAATCTTTTAGGTTTCTAGAAGAGGATCGGTCTGAAAAGGAAACCGGACCTATTAGTATATGGTTAGAATATCAAAAGGTCAATGAATTATATAAAAGTGACTAAAATAGAAGAAAAAAAAATGGGGGACTTTTAATGCAAATCATTTGAACGTAAACTCAAAGAAAAGGTTCATTTATAATTGAACAAGATACCAAACATGGGCAAGATTAACAATAGACAATACTTTAATTTAGTTGGAATGCTGTTAACAGCATTCCAACTATCTGTTATGCTATGGACGAAAAGTTTATTATTATTATTCCGCTGGTATTTTGGCCCTCTTCTCCTCCCGCATTGAACATCGCAGAAATACCGTTCTAACATCAAAATGTTCAGCTCGGTCGGGAATCGCAGGCTATTACTTTTCTCATTCATAACTTTCATAATTCCAGAGATACATCCATAATTCATCAAATTTTTAACGGAGAAAATCTTCAGACTTCAACAAATCTTCATGCGATTAAACTGCTAACTGTTCATTCATACTTTCACTCAGAAACCTCATTCTGACTTTAAAATGTTACACATCTTTCTGACATTATTCATGTAAAACAACTTTTAAATCTGATTCTTACTTTTAGAGATATTAAACCTTGTTCAGACCTTGTTAAAGAGGTTTTCTTCACATTTTAACATTAACTAGAGTGCGTGATGTCACAGCTAGAGGGTAGAACATCTTGAAATATGCCTTCATATATTTTTTTTAAATTGCCATAATTCCCAAACCCTACATTCCTGAGACATAATTTTACATGACAAACGTAGGAAAACATCTCGTAGCTTGAAAAATGGCAAATAATTAAGCCAAATAATTAAACAAAATACTTCTTGAGGGCATGAAGTGACAAATACTTTCAACATTCCTCCATTAAAGCCCATTGTAATTTCAGGCTGATATTTCCTCACGGTAGCAGCCGCACACCTTTAGTTAAACTGCCAAAAAGGCCACATTATTAACCCGAAAGTACACAAAAATTACACTTCAGATACTCAACTTCCTTGACATGCTTCACGTTTTGAAATTTCACAGATATCTGTTACGGTTCTTCCACAAAACGTTCACATGTAAGAGGTTTATCTCTCATTCAGAACAATGGAAACCTGTGATCTCTACAGAGCTCGTTAGCTCAACTATAAACACCTGTGTAATGGAACACGATGATGTCCTCACTCCAACTGACATGCTCAGAGCAGCAGACTTCAGATAGCAGTGTGCTAACAGTCCAGCCGTGAAGACATCTACGGGACAGTTTGAGATTTCTTCAAATGCCGTTGCCATGGCAACACAATGCTCGCCATGAAACACGGCTTTCTCATAACTTCAGTGAAACTGCTCCAAACGCCCCAAAACTTCACAGGTTTGGTAACGATGCAGCCATCAACGCATCTAAGCGTATTATGGGGTGTCATCAAATGCCGTTGCCATGGCGACAGATCATTCGCAATCAAGTTAGTTCAGAAGTTTGCAGTTCAAATATTCTGCTGCTTTTCCAAGCCTTTTTACTTTCTTTTCTTCTCTCATCACACATTCAAGCCCCAGTCTTCATGTATCATTTCAATCTAAATTCTTCACTTTCTTCTTACACATTACATTTCAGCATAGCAGTTTAGCGTCAGATTTTCAGCATAAAGCATTCCCACTAGCAATTTCTTCAGGAATTGCATTCTCTAGTTTTTAAATGTTGCCGTCTGTATTTAGTCATATTCGCAATCAATCAGTTCCATTGTTAATCCATTATGTTTTAAAGTGAAACGTCAACAGTGAAAACCTCTTTTACTGTGGACCTTGATTTTACAACCGCTGACCAGTTGATGTTTGAGAGAAACTTCCGGCTGGTCACCTTGCATATTGCATACTCAACATGTTGATTAGTAACGTGACCCGGTCGCTTGTTAGAGGAAGTCCAAATTCAGGTTTTTACCTAAAACAATAAGAGCACTTTGTCCTTTGGAAAAATATGATTCACCCATGCTACACTGGGAGTTGTCTCCAAGAATGTTTATGAGGTAGGTACAAAGTAAAGGAATGGGGGGGTGGGGTTTCACTCAGTTTACAAGATACCATAAACATATCCAAAAGCCCAATCCCTTACGCAATATTACTGGATATAATTATCACTGACGAGAAGCAACATTTCAAGGTCTTTGTGAAAGTCGATCCCCACCTTGTCAAACAAGATTGTGCAAGTTATCAAAACAAAACATTCTGAATCATGTTAAATCTGTATCTCTTAACCTTATATAATATATATTTTTTTTAAAACCGCTAATATCAGGTTCCTGTGTAGATTCAACATGCCAGACTGATCACCCATGAGCGGTTTTCTCTGTTTTTCACCTGGTGTCCTTTAAGTCTATGAATTGGGTGTGATTCTCAGGCACAGTCTGCAGAAATGTGAACATATTTGAAATTGGCCTAAATGGCTAAAAATGTCGTCAAAAGAGCCCTCAGGCACTTGATGATTTAACCGTGGGACAGCCCTAAGCCGTCAGACTTTAAGGCATCTTCCCGCAAAATCTATCTTTAATTAAAATGTAGCTTGGCATGATCGCTTTCAGTTTGTCTTAAGAAATAATTTATGATCGTATTGATTACTTTTAAGGTTCTGAGTAGCCTTACCTTTCCGACTGACCTTCTAAAATGATGCAAGCTTGAGATACTCGGACAGACGTCTTTTATCTGTTCCAGGCCGCTGGCTTTGAAACAGTCAGTATAATCTTTCAAATAATTTCTTTATGCATAATTTTATTTAAAACGTATTTTTACTTGATTCTTATAACCATGGAATTGATTTAATGTGTCCATTTGAAAGGTGTTCTGCAAATAAGGATCATCATGAATGTTATTAAATCCTTTTCATTTTCATTTAATAAGTTCAACTATAGTTATGTAACTGACTACACCCTGCTATTTAAAAAAAAAAAAGAGAGCAAAGAGAAACAAAAGTGGTAGAAGAGTAACTGAAGGGAAATGTAACTTTAGGTACAATTGTGTTTGGTTTTACAGAAACTGCAAAGCATATTGCGCTTCTACTTAAAAATATCTTCTTTGGTTTCCGGCAACAATTTTACTGCGAAGAAAAAATAATGACTAACATATAAACTCAGTGAAAAATGCAGTGTCTGCGATTTCCTAAAGTCATGACAGTCCGTAAAGTAATGTGTGTCATAGTTAAGAATTGTTTGTCTAAATCTGGGGGGGATATGTAAGTAGGTAATTCACCATCACACATTTACAGGACATTATTGAGAGGAAAATAACACTTACAGTAAAAGCAGGAAAGGTCTGAAATACAGAAAGACTGCCCTCTGCTGCTGAGGATGTGTTAGTTCATATCATGGCGCTGAATCTGATGCTTAAGCAAACCTATAAATAAGCCAACGTTTTTTTAATTCCTCTGAAAATAAAAAACAACATTAGAAGTTAAGTGTTTCTTCTGTGGACGGAGCCTCAGAGTCAACTAAGACAAACAGATCTTCAGAAAACAAAGAAGCTGGCTGGCTTCATGCATCATGATCTGTGTATATGATATGCAAGTTTTCTTTAAAGGGGACCTATTATGCAAAATCCACTTTTTCATGTATGTTATACATCAACATGTGTCCCCTCTGTGTAAAGAGATTCTGAAAGTTTCAGGGAAAAAAAGATTCCCTCTCTTTTCGTCCTGATCCATTTATATAAAAACCTGTCTGAAAATGAGCTGATCCGATTTTGGCCACTTTATGATGTCATAACGTTTTTATGGCTTGTAACCATTAGCCAATAACCAACTAAGGTAATTAAAAATGATTATTATTACATTACACAACATCTCTTGTGTTTTGACTGTGAAAAAAGAAGTGGAAATTATCACATTGTATATATTTTTAAGCAATAATATAATTGGAGCGGGAAGTATCATGACAAATGTAACCTTTGTTTTCTTTTGCTGAACTACTCTTTAAAAAAAAAGAGAGATGGAAAGTTTCTACAGTATAATGGTCCAATCATTTCTGGAAATTCATGTGTTATCTTGGTATTTCCAAAAACGGAGGCCAGTTAGCAATTACATACATCTTTAACCATTTAAAGCAACAAACCTACTTCCAGGAATCAATATTGATAGTGTAACACAGTATAACTTTTAATTGTTATAGAGTAACTATGAATTAACAGCAGAATAATAGCAAAGGAGAAGAGTGAACCTGCGATCAATGTCACAGGCAGGAAGTGCAGACATGATGGCTTTATTATTGCTGCATATAAGGAAAACATCTGAAACCCCGTTCTGCATCTCGGGGTCAGTGAGCAGTCTCCTTTTACAGATACACCTGTGTTACCTCTGTAAAATGCAGACTCGACTGCTGTAACACTGATGTCTCGTCTGTTCAAAAAGTCAAATAAAAACAATACATTTTGAATATACATACGTCTCCGTCATGACACAACCATCATGGTGCGTTTTTAAATTGACTCATACTGCTCCCTTTAGGACAGTGTGACATTTCCACATCATCATGTTACTCATTAATCTAAGTCTTAGCACACTCGCATTTAAAATACAAAACAATAAATCTTAAAGGACATTAAAGGACAGCCCACTTTAGAGTTAGACTGAGGAGAGAAGCACTGGATATCGCTGAAGCTAAACATTAAAACGTGTGTGCACTTTAAGAAGAGTTGTGTCCTGGACTGGAACTTCGCAAACCAGCAAAGAATGGCCAAAACAAAAGACTCTGAGGTGGAGGAGAGACCCAAATGGGACAACAAGGCTGAGTACCTGCTAACGTGTATCGGCTTTGCAGTGGGAGTTGGAAACGTCTGGCGTTTTCCTTATCTGTGCCAAATCTATGGAGGAGGTTAGATGCTATTATATATAAGGCTGCATACGAGTTGCATTTAATTTCCCTCTTACGCCAAACCATAGTTTAAATACGTTTGCCATTAAAGTTTTAAAAGTTATATCACGTATTTATTACTGTATTCCAGACATGTTATCCTATAATGAGAGACCAAATTGAGTTGTAGAAACACTTGCCTCTTTCTGCCTCAGTACAATTAGTCATTAACAAATAGGCTAGGCCATTCATTTACAAAATGGTAGATATTTTCTGTGTATGATCGACCATCTCATCATCAGGGATTGTTCACGATCAACTCTCTAACCCTGTACTTCCTCATACTGTAGTTTCAGGTAAATTATGAAGAGCTAGAAACTCAAAATGTGCATAAGCTTCAGTGGTGTCAAGTAACTAATTTACTCAAGTATTGTGCTTAAGTACAATTTTGATATACATTTTATGCTACTTTGTACTTCTACTCCACTACAATTCGGAGGTAAATCGTTAACTTAAATTCCACTACATTTATTTAATACCTTTACATATTTTGATTAATGATATTAAATATAATCAACACATTAAATCAGACTTTAGTTCCACCTGGAGTAAATTCACAAGTTACCCTTTAGTATACAAAGTCATTAAAACTAGCTGCACCTTTACCAGCTTTGAGAACACTTTAATGATCAATATTTATAAAAACATATCATATATTATTCTGAAATGGACCAATCTGCAGAATGATTACTTTTACTACTTTATGTATATTTTGATGCTAATACTTTTACTTGAGTAACATTTTTAATGCAGGACTTTTACTTGTAACAGAGTATTCCTACACTCTGGTACTTCTACTTTTACTTAAGTACAAGATCTGAACACTTCGCCCACCACGGATAAGCTCTATAATCTTCACATATTCGTTGAAATACTTCATTCCAACAGACAAGCTTTTTCCTACATTCATATCGTGTCGTATATTCAGCCAAATGTCTTATTTTTTTAACTGGCTATTTATACTTCTCCACTTGTGTGGTTTGTCACTTGGATAACCATGGAAATAATGGGATTTGTCTATCTGATAGTCACATTTGTAATTGATGTCTTCAGGTGCATTCCTCATCCCCTACCTGATAGCGCTGGTGTTTGAGGGCCTCCCTCTGCTCTACCTGGAGATGGCTATAGGACAGAGGCTCCGCATGGGCAGCATCGGCGTCTGGAAATCCATCTCACCCCTGCTGGGGGGAGTCGGTGGGTAGAAGATAATTATTAGTAATATTTATTTATTTATTTTGGACAGATTCTCCATTATTTCAATAGCTAATCTAAAGCTAGAAATTAGTTGGTGTCTTCTAATGGACCATCAGAAACTAGTCAATGCACAAGTTCAACCATTATAATAAACACGACTGTTCTGGCTCCTAAATGGTGGAATGACCTCCACATCGACATCCGGTCAGCAGAAAGTCTATACATCTTCCGTCGCATACTGAAAACACACCTTTTCCGACTGCACCTCGGCCAATGAAATCTCTACATATTGTAATAATGTACTAGCACTAACGGATTGGCTTAGTTGAAGCTAAGGTATTAGCGCGTAGAACGGAATGGCTTAGTTGAAGCTAATGTACTAGCACTTTAAATGGTTTGGCTTTGTTGAAGCTAATGTACTAGCACTTTAAATGGTTTGGCTTTGTTGAAGCTAATGTACTAGCACTTTAAATGGTTTGGCTTTGTTGAAGCTAATGTACCTACATGATTCTTGTTACTCTGTACCCTCCTGGTTGAATGCACTTATTGTAAGTCGTTTTGGATAAAAGTGTCTGCCAAATGAAATGTAATAATTCATATTAATTCACCGATTATAGATAGAGTAAGTATTACCAAAATGTTTTTTGTGATATTGAATATGTTGTTTATCATGTATTTGTGTAGGAATTGCCTCCATGATAGTGTCATTTCTGGTGAGCATTTTCTACAACACGCTCCTGGCCTGGGCGATGTGGTACTTCTTTCACTCTTTCCAAAACCCCCTGCCCTGGAGCCAGTGCCTGGTCAATGATAACCTCACAGGTAACAAGGAACTCCATCAGTCACGCTAGCTGCTTTTTACAGTTCTATTATCACACATGCAAGGACTGGTTAACTATTAGGCTCCATGTGGCATTTCAGATCAGGTTTCATAGGAAAACATCAAGAGTCTTGTATGAGTCTCTTTAGTTCTCTGTGTGCAAGTCCTCCCGTAATGTACTATAAAAGAAGATCATTATTATATCGTCTCGTTTGTTTTTAGTAATCTTACCAAGATATTAAGTTTGTCTCATGGTGGAACAGTTTTAAGAACTACATGTTCCTATGTCTTAACCTATGCAGAAGTATTTTATTGTGGGATAAATTCATACTAATCTCAGAAAGTACATAAACTCAGGTACAAAATAAGGCATGTCTTACCCAATGTACACAACAACCGTCTTGATTAAGCAAATATTGTCCTTTGTGAATGCATTCTTACAGGCTATAATGAGGAGTGTGTGAAGAGCACTCCAGCAAACTACTTCTGGTACCGTGAGACCCTGAACATCACACCTGACATCGAGACCAGCGGCTCCCTGCAATGGTGGCTGGTCATCTGTCTGGCCAGCGCCTGGTGTGTGGTCTACATCTGCTTTATCAGAGGCATCAAGTCAATAGGGAAGGTCGGTTTTCCTGGGAAAAAAATAAAAACAAGCGTTACCAAGAGTTAAAGATGGCTGTACTGTTTGCTTGTTTCAGGCTGTGTATGTGACAACCACATTCCCTTACCTGGTGCTGACTATTTTCCTGATCCGGGCTCTCACTCTGCCGGGATCTACTGATGGACTGGTGTACCTCTTCACTCCTGATGTGAGTGTGTTGCTACCAAAGGTGATGTCAAGAGTACCCGACGGACACAATGAACTGATGTGTTGACTGTCTGCAGTGGGAGATCCTGAAGAACCCTCAGGTGTGGCTGGATGCTGCCACTCAGATCTTCTTTTCCCTCTCTGTGGCCTTTGGAAGTTTCATAGCTTTCTCGAGCTATAATGCAGAGAGGTAAGGACTGATACACTTGACCTCCCTCAGTAGTGGGATAATTTGTGTGAATTGTTTCCTCTTTTGTGTCCATTAGGAACAACTGTGAAAGGGATGCTGTTCTAGTAGGAACAATAAACAGCGCCACATCTCTCTACGCCTCCATTTCCATCTTCTCCATCCTGGGATTTAAAGCTAACTCCGCCTACAACTCCTGTAATGAGGAGTACGTACGCACAAATATTCAATGTTATTGTTATTCTGCTTTCACATGGAATAATGCAGATGGACATTTTTGTGGAATACAGCAGGACAGTAAATTAAGTTGAATCCGGTAGAAAATACCGGCAATGGTAACGGTAGAAGTCGATGCCTTTCTTCGGCAACAAGATGTTATGAACTAGCCTACGAAGCTTCTTCACACAAGGGAGAAAACATGGCCGATCTGGACAACGATGGAGCCAATCTTTTTTATCAGTAGTAGAAATCATTTACATTTTTCAAACATATTTTTGATCCCTTTTGAGAAAGGGAGGGAAGATAGACTTGAAAAGTGGGATTGAGAGAAAACAACTCTACCAGGAGTGCTTCTTTGGCACCATGGCGAGAGTTTAAATTCCTACCTACATATTACAAGAAGCTGCATAACAAGAGCAGTTAAACAAAAAGTAGACACAAACATGCGTATGACGTACGACCATAAGATTTCGTTTTCCTCTTCAATCCAGAATGCGTTGTCCTTCGACCAGATACCCTGTGAATGCAGCATAATGAATGCTTCATGCTCCTTCTGGTCAGCACGGGGGGTGGCAGATGGCAAAATTGTGCAATTGCGAGAAGGGTAATTGTGCGCCAAGGGTTTGAGCATCGGGCAATACACCTTCAAGATTATGTAACAGGCAGGGTTTGCAGAAACATTCGTGGGGACCAAGCGCAAAGTCCGTAGTGCGCTGACCACAAGAAGCATGAAACTATTTTAAAGCTTATTCTTTTCCTGCCAATACCGTTGAGGCAGATTGTCTTTTGGAATCCCATTTGCAGAAACATCTTGATTCTGACCAACCACTTTGAGTTTTCTGACCAGAACATAACAGTGGAGAACTATGATCACTGGTTTAAGTATCTAAATCGTTCATATCCAGGTGAGGTGGCCGGTTTGGACCTGAGGCACTGTGACTTGCAAACATTTCTTGACCAGGTAATGTAACTGTGTAAACACATTGGATCTTGTAAACTGCATTCTAATTTTCCATGAGGTGCCAGTCAAAAATGTACAGTCCTCGTTTCTTGACTCTCCTTCATCCTTCTCCCCCAGAGCGCATCAGGTACCGGCCTGGCTTTTATCGTGATCAGCGAAGCAGTGATAGAAATGCCAGGCTCACAGATATGGGCCATACTGTTCTTCACCATGCTCTTCAGCTTGGGTCTGTCGTCCATGTTTGGCAACTTAGAAGCAGTCCTCACACCCATCAAGGACCTCAACCTATTTCCCAAGTGGATCCCTCATGAACTCGTAACAGGCAAGTTTTAAGTGGAAATGATTGATGTTGCCGCTGTTGAAAAGACAACTTGATGGCTTTCTGTTTTCCTGAGTCTAGCAACTACCAACAACAACACACTGCATTCTGTTTCCCACACTTTGGTTTTTCCATAGTCTGCCATTTACACTACTGGGGATAGTATCTTCAAATAACGTATATTCATCATCTTTGCTAATTGGGTATAGCAACCGGGGAAGACAAAGGCTATCCTCTCAGTGTTTTGGTTGTGCAATGGTTGAGGCACTTCCTTTGTGAAGTAAATTGAGCCTACATGTTCCTGAAAGACCAGTGGATTATAGTTGATGTCATCATTATATAGCCATTTCATTGTGTAAGGAACAGTTAGCCCACAGTGTAAAGTTAAGGTGTTCAAAAGATAAAGAAATACATGTTAACCCTATTAGTTCCCTCACTGAAAACACGTTTTTCCTCTATATTTTTTTTAGCAATCATCTGTTTGATATCCTTCTCGACGGCTCTCATATTCACCCTGGGTTCGGGGAATTACTGGTTTGAGATCTTTAACGGCTACGTGGGCTCCTTACCCCTCCTCATCGTTGCACTCTTTGAGATTATTGGAGTCATTTATGTCTATGGAATGAAAAGGTAACTTTTCTCCTCTTCTTTGATATTCTGTAGAAATGTATGAGATTTATAAACAATTTTGATCTCATTGTGTGAAACCTCTTCTCCTGTCCCGGTGTCCTCCAACAGGTTCAGTGAAGACATCTATTTCATGACTGGGAAGAAACCCAACATCTTCTGGAAGGCCTGCTGGATGGTGATCAGTCCGTTAATGCTACTGGTGGTGTTGGTTGCATACGTTGTCGTTCAGGCACAGAAACGACCCTCTTATCTCGCTTGGAACCCGGACTATGTAAGAAAGCCGAGGGAAGTCACATGGAGATGTTTCGGGTGTAGAGATCTGATTCAAGGCTTGAAATATATTTGGAAGATATACTGCAATTGAGTGAACAAATATGTAAAAAATATGCAACCGAGTATTTAACTCCGCTAAAATCCACATAATTGGTCAGTGTGGTTGTTACAGCTTCTTGAGCATTCCTTGCGCATCCAAAAATAAATAAATGCAGGTTAAAATTAATCGTTTTTGGAATTTGTAGCTTCATATCAAGCGCACAACGATGTAACAATTTCCCATTTGAGACTTCTTTGTATTTTTCTTCCTCAGGAACTATTCCCAAAAACGGAATCAAAGCAATATCCAGACTGGGTGTTTGCCATAATCGTCCTCCTCAGTCTACTACCTGTGATTTCAATCCCACTGGTGGCGCTCTACAAACTGATCTCCTGCAGAATGAAAAAGACCTCTGCTCGTGTTCAACATAGTCCCTAATGCAATGGGGGCTTTCGAGGTTGAAACACAGGAACTTTTTTTTTAAATGACATAATCCTGATCATGTCCCTGCTTCTGTGGAATTGTACATCCTAATTGGCCAGAAAGCTGACATAAAATAAATTATGCCGAATTGAAATATAGACATTTCTTTGATTTGTGACGTTAACATTTATTAGGACCTAACCTGACAAATCACATTTGCTTCCTTGATCATATAATAAATGGATTTATTTAACAGTGAAAGTCTTTCCTTTGTACATTGTTGTGCAGTGAACATGATGTAAATAACAAACAATTTAACACATCATATTGAAATATACAGCCATGTCAAAAAGTAATTACATAAGATATATATATATACACAGTATGTGAGTGTCGACAATATTTCTCTGAACTTATTTACATAGAAATGATCGCCCAAGTGCCGTCATGTCTGTCTTGTGGAAAACTACCACAAGAGTGTAAATCAAAGACCACAGAGAGAAACAGCTGTGGGACGAGACGGGGTCTAGTAAAGTAGCTGGATGATTTTCAACTATCCATCTGTATCTGTGTTAGCTATTTTATAGGGTGTGTTTATGATGGATGTTTATCACTTTGCTGTGTTATCTCTCTAAAGCCTTGTGAAAAGGATAAATTACATTTTTATTTTGGCACACTGAAGTTTAGATAAATCACTAATTTCAACCCTGAGAATGAGACAAGAAATATAAAGATCTGTAATTCTTTGTTGACACATCATCAAAGCACTCAAAGGAAAGGTAGACAAAACTTACTGCATCAGTATGTAGTCCAGCTTCTCTAGAATGTTTGTCTATACCTTTGAGCTGCTGTTGGTTTCAGGGATTTGTTGGGAGCTAAATTCGGGGCTGGCTTGTAGTCTAGCACTGGATGGCGAAGAAGTCGTCAGGGGTCCTGGGGTTAGTGGCCTGTCGGACCCTGGCCAGCCTCAGAACCCCCAGACACTTCTCGAGACTGCGCTTCCCTGTCAAGAAAGCAGAGGACATTTCTTTTTTTGCTCGTCAATGGTGAAATGTAAAATTCAAGCATCTGTAGAATAGGGTTAAAAGGTAGCAATTAACAACTTCTGTACATGTTGGATTGTGTTGTACCTACATTTGTTGGGTTTGGTTAATCTCTCACAAAGCCAGATTAAAATGGATTGGCTTTATAGGCAAGTTGTCATGATGATGTTTACATATTGTTCATATTGAGACCAATGGCTCTACTTTCCTGCAGGTAAGTAACTTTCTTGCTCTTAACCAACATGCTCAGTGAAGCTTATTATTAAGTAGCGCCTCTCATTGCATTAGCCACAAAATGTTGATAGCTTTAGTTGGTGTGAGTGATACAAAATAGGATTAGCCTCATCAGTACCAGATCTGAGAACTGCCTAGCATTTTAGAAAGATAGTAGTTGAAGGTTTGTCTTTACAGCTACCACAGTGGAGGAGGAAAAGACTGAAGCAGACCAGAGGCCTGTACTACGAAGCTGGTTCAACCTAACCTGGATATGTTTAGTTTACCAGCTGTATTAACCTTGCAGGTGCAGCTATGTGGCTTTTATCCTGGATAAAGTGTTTAAGTCATGGATGTTTAAAGTTTAACTTCTTCATATGTCTAATATTATAGTTGACTTTTAATTCAGGAAGTATGACGCTGCGCTGTCAGTATGCTTCTCCATATTTGTGATTGGTAGAATGCTACAAATACCACCCCTCTCATGTGAACGCGCAACTAGATAGGACACGGCTGGCTTGAGCGATCCACTTGATAACCCGCGTCGTAGTACCGTTTAGCGAGAGCCCGTATGTTTTGGATTAGGCCAACCGGCTAACTAAGAAAAAAGTGTTTGAATGCGTACATTAACAGGTTTATGATATCACTGCCCCGTCTAAGACACGAGTGGATCTGACTTTAATTACATTTGTCTCGAGTGTTTCCTCAACTTAATGTGTTGCTTAAAATAACACTTCTGCATACAGTATGTGACACTGTGAGTGTTGCACGGCCAGATACGGCTCAGCTGACTCAGATAAGGAAATATATGATACATTATGATGTGATATGAACAGTGTTGTGCTAGTTACTGAAAACCAGTAACTAGTTACCATTACTAGTTACTTCATGTCAAAAGTAACTCAGTTACTTTACTAGTTACTTAAACCCAAAAGTAATGCGTTACTGTGAAAAGTAACGTTTTTGTTACTTGAAAAAAGGGCTCCCATTAATGCCCTTATAGCCTTCATTTCAGTACTGTTATTGCATTGGAGAATAATACAATCTGTTGATCAACTTGACATGCATTATATGCAATCTGGATTGCATCGATATTAGCTGGCTTTCCATTTGTGTATATTCTTTCTCCAGGTAGTTGGAAAAAGGGTTCCGTCCCATATGCCGTGTGCCGCCCGGACATGCTATCATGCTAACTAGCTCCCTGAAAGCGGGTGACTCCACTGTAGCAATAGCCTGCATGTGTTCTACAACATACCGTGCAATGGCTTTATCGACTTTTCCCTGGCCAGCAGTCCCTTGGTTAAAATCCAGCCGCTGTTGCTTAGGTGGAGGTGGAGTGGCGTCGGCTGAGTCCCTGTGGTCTTAGCTACTAGCTTCGTCCCAGCATGTTGTTTTTGCAGATGTTTTAAGAGATTTGAATTACTGGTTTGGGCAGTAGATAGGATCTTTGACCCGCCAAGACACAACTTACATTTAACTAAAACGTTCTTTTCTTTGTGCTCGACAAAAGTGAAATAGTGGGAATATCTCCAGGTGGAGAAACTAGACTTGAGCTCCGCCGCAAACTTGTATTTCCGGACCCATACTTGTGTTTTTCAATGCACACACAAATGTATTCCGTTTCATATACATGTAAATAAAATCCAAATACAGAAAAAAGTTTTATATATGTATTTTTGATCCTCACTTATTAGTTGGGTGTTGAGGGACTGTCATGGTTGACACGTCTCATCAACGTTGCGTGGAAGTCGGAAACAGTACCGAATGAGTGGCAGACCGGGGTGGTGGTTCCCCTTTTTAAAAAGGGGGATCAGAGGGTGTGTGCAGGGGCGGATCTAGACAAATATTCATGGGGTGGCAAGAGGGTGGCAGGAGATTTTGAGGGGTGGCATCCCCTGACAGAAGTATATGCTGATTTAAATCGCAATCATATCAATCAATTAGGGGTGTAACGGTACACGTACCCGTACTGAAATTATTCGGTACGGGCCCTTCGGTTCGGTACACGTGTGTACCGAACGAATATAGCGTTAAACGTAAAAAATTGAGAACATGAACAACTCTCTGGAAGTAATCTATATCATAGAGCGACCAAGTCATTTCATTGGACGAGAGGCATACTATGAGAGCTGGTCACAGGGATGCGTTCAAATGTAGTCAGTAATTTGAGGCACTGTCGAAATGGCGAACGCAGATAAAGTTGAGCTCGAAAATCCTCCGGCATCATTGAAGTCTCCGGTTTGGGAACATTTTGGTTTCGCAGTTACGTACAAGGATGACGGACAAAGACAGGTGGACCGAACCAAAGCTGTTTGTCGGCATTGTTCAACTAACATTGGTTACGCGGCTGGCAATACATCACACTCATTTGAAAAGGCATCACCCGAATGTGAATATTACCGGTAACAAAAGAAAAAAGACTGAAGTGCAAACCCAACTCCCACTAGCATGTAAGCCTCCACCACTCGCAAAGAGTTCAGACCGAGCCAAAGCTATTACAAACGCCAAATATCCTTATGTTGCCATGTTAGCAAAGCGCTACCTGGCTGTATCTGCTGCCACTGTCCCTAGAGAGGGTGTTCTCCACAGCAGGAGCCATTGTTAGTGCCAGCAGATCTGCCCTTTCGGCAAGCAATGTGGACAAGTTCATCTTTCTTTAAACAACATGAAAATACAATGACAAGCAAGTCCTAATGTCAAGCTGGCTGCTTAGGTACTAGTACAGTTCAAATACAGATTATTTCAGTTCATCGAAATGCTGCACCTTAATGTTTATTTTACTATATTTTGTATTTATTTGAATACATTAGTCACAGTTTAATAATAATTTAAAAAAAATATTTAATGTTTTGTGATAATTTTTTCTGCTGTACCGAAAACGTACCGAACCGTGACCTAAAAACCGAGGTACGTACCGAACCGAAATGTTTGTGAACCGTTACACCCCTACAATCAATGTTAACTTGGAAAGCCACAATATTAATATTTTAACTCAATCACATAGGTGATATTATTGTGGCACATCAGTAAAGCCTTACAAGGTGGCAGACGTAATTTAATGAATTTTAACTGAACAATAACTGAATGAGTTTGTTTCACTCTTAGACCAGCAGGGGTACCAAATCTATACAGACTGCTGCAATAAGTACATTAATTAACTGTCTCATCGATGTTTGTCTGAATGAATATGATACTATTAACAATCATATTATTCCTATCAGCTGTCAATCACTGTTAATAAATAATAATAATAGATTTAATTTGTTAGCGTTTTTACAGGTGCTCAAAGACGCTTTACAGATATAGTGAAGAACTGTTATGATTCACATATTCATTTATTATTGAATAAACTATATTTTTTGGAGGAGTTAATGATGAATGTTCATCAAGATGCTTGCTCACCCTCCTTCAAATTTGAAAAACAAGTAATTATATCATTATTGATATACAGTTACAACCTTGACTTTACATCAGAAAGAACAAACATTAAAGAAGTGACTAACTGCATCAGTTAGGGTTAAAAAAACGTGTCTTCAGCTAAAACATAAACATCGCTGCAGTTATTATCCAGTGGAAGGTCCTACCTACTGGCCTAGTTAAATCAAAGTGGTTACTTTCTGTTGGCTGGGCAGTGTAGTTTTACACACCGTCTTATTTTACTTTCTCAGGACTTAAAACTGTTTTTTGGGGGCAGACCCCCTCAAAGAAAAATATATATACACGCATACAAGGTCATCATCTTATCTCATCGAGTCATCC